AAATATTTTAGATATTAACAATTCATATTATCTTTATTTTTCATTTCTTTTTCCCCTCTCCAAATGTTCGATATAGAATCTTTCCTTTAGTTATTAACAATTCAACCTCTTTCAGCTGGTTTCCATTTTTGGCCAGCATTAAGGCAGCCAACAACACAACTCCCTCGCAAGCGAATGGTACCAAAAGTCATCAATACACAACTCTCAGGTCTCATTTTCTCTCCTCATTATGAGTCCCCAGGTTGCAATGGGAACTTTGGTTCCAGTGATTTGTACGCAAACTCAATGAATGAACACTAAAATACATGCTACCAAACTAATTTACTCACACCACAAGAATTCCCAGAATATATCTAGGCAAGAACAGTAAAGATGCCTCAAAGGAAATAACGGATAACAAGACCTTATACATCCAACGGTTGTTATTGTCAAATTAGCACTCAACGAGATCCTCAAGAAGCAATTAGTGTTCCATGAGTTTGCCAATAAGCTAGCCGTCAATAACCTCTGTGAGTACCTTCAAAGAGCCCTACTCTTGACGGTAATACTCAAAATTCTGTAACAGAAGACATGGGCTGTGTTGCTCCACTAATGAGTAAAAGTTTCTTGCCCCCCGATTTCCTTTTCCAATTAGTCAAGGAAAACATTATCCTAGATTACCACAGGCTCAGGGATAAACACTAAAACCAATTTTCCACATCAACATACAACAGAGTCTATAGAGCTTGCAATCCGATTTTCAAGCAAGTTAACCAGAGTAGAAATAATTAATCCATGATACCCACCATTCATGCAAGAATATTTTTAGACAATCCAATTTTAACTACATTTTCAGACGATCGAGGGATACACGATTGAATGTTAAGTGGATAATTTTCATATCATTTTCAAATAATGAACTCGAATGAGCTCCAAAACAAAGAGGCTGACCTTGAGAGCAGACTCCCACCGCAAAGCTGTGATTCTTTCATGAAGTGCTTCTAAAACGGTCCTCGGAAGCAGCTTCTTGGAGTTGGTGGGACCCCTCTTCTTCTCAATAATGGCCTTGGTAGCCTCCCTTCGAAGTATCACCGATATGGCTTTCTTCGATGCTATCTTCCTGTTCACCTCTTCTTTCCTCTCCCTCGCTTCTTTCTCCTTCAGCTTCTGAACTTCCATGGCCATTCTCCTTGCACGCCCATCAGTGACTATCATTGCACCCGATGACTTCTCTACAGCGTCATTGGAGTAAGGAGACGAAGGCGAAGGGGGATTCGGATCGGGTTCAGACTGTGCCCGAACGCATCGCGATTGATTAGTAGCTCGTTGGCGGTAAATGGTGGTTGGAAATGGAAGGGCGCTGCTGGAAATCGAAGCCATTGATTCTGCTCCACTCATGGACCGCACCAGAAGGCAGAAGCGAAGACATGCATATTGAAACAAGATATCGAATTATCACCTTCCAAATATTTTAGGGGAAAAAACATTGCGGCCGAAACGGTAATTATCTGATTCGGACCTGAACCTCATTGTTCTGCTTCCCCAGTCTTAGGGAAAATGGGATTAATGACGGGTAAGAATATCTGTGGGGGAAAAACTTTCTAGAATTAAGATTTAAATTAAGAAAAATTATTAAAAAGTATTTAATATGATTTTTTTTTTTTTGGGTTAAACAATGACTTGTACAATTTTTCAATATTATTCCCAATACCATCCAGTTTTGATAAGCTTTGGCTCGGGCTCGAACCTCATAAGCTCGTCTTTCTTTTGTTTTTTAATTATTTAGTTAATGTGAGGATGTTTTCTTTTACTACATCCAGTCCTTAATATAAGACTTTGTTTAACTTTTATTTTGGTCTTAAATATAAAACTTCAATCCACTTTGTCTCTTATATTTATATATTTTTTTTCCAAAGTAGCCCTTCTAATAATGATAGTTATAGTCAATACACTTGATTAGTAAGGATATTTTAAGAAAGATAACATCTATTTAGGACAAATAACTAACTCAACTTACTTCCTTAATCTCCTCAAATTAGTCAACTGGCTCTTATAATTAGAACCGGATGTAGTAGTTTATATTTAAGAAAAAAAATAGGAAAATGACAAATAAAGAAGGCGAGATCACAGTTTAGGAAGCTTAGGATTAGAGATGAGAAGAGGGAATGAGAGAGGAAAAAAAACACATTGTTAATCCTAAGTTTAAACTTCTCATTTCCCAATTAAGACATGTCATTTCTAGATAAATGACTTGTCATTTCTCAATTAAGACTTATCATTCTTACATAAATTCTTTTCACAAATCAGAAACACAATAAAATAGTCAACTTTTTTTTTTTTTGCATTACAAAATTAACAAATAATTAGTAGCCCAATAGCCATCTTATTTTTTCTTGGCCCAAATAACCAAGAGGTAGTGACATCAAACCCTATCCCCACCACTTTCTTTAAATAATTTCTCACATGACCAAAAAAAAATATTTGAGGGGTTGAACCTTTAAAAAAAAAAATAGAAGGGAATTTTTATCATTTTGCTTTAATTTCAAATTTTCAATTTGAGAATAATTTTTCTCTCTGTTATTTCTAACCCTTGACTTCCTAGGATATCCTAATTTCAACCTTATTTATTTGTTATTTTTTCAAAAAAATAAGGGGAGAGAAGTCTCCCCTTGCAAATTTTATTAGTGAAAAGGATATAATAAGCTTTTATAGATAAAAATTACAAATACTCAGTAAATTTTGTACATACAAAGTACTGATATTTGATACTATAATTTGGATCATTCTTATCAATAAAATTATTAATGAGAACTTCTATCCGATTTTCCCTATACTAAATGATTCTTTTTTAATGTGTATGAAAATGATACTTCTCCGGTCCTTAATATATGATTCAATTATTGAGTTGGTTTGGACTCTAAATATAATACCCATTTCTGATATTTATCAATTTTCTTTAAATTACCTCCATAGATACTCGCTCAACCATAATCAAATAGAAGAGGAAAAAAAGATATTAAGAAATATGAATATGATATTTTAGGAAAAACGTGTCACATTTTTTTATAATTAACTAACTTACATAACTTTCTTAATCTAATCAAATTAGTTAAATAAGTCTTATATTAAGGACCGGAGGAGTACTTTTTTAACACATTATATAACACAGCATTTTCTCAATTTCAAGATTAGTGATGCTTCTTCCATTGAAAAGGCGAAACTAGATTTATTATTTTAATGATGAAGATGAAGATTAAGGAAGATTTATGTTTTGGATTAAAATTTAGACTTAAGAAAATGTATCTGCACCTTTTAATTTATTTAACTTGTTATTTAGAGCCTACACATGTAATGTAATAATTTGATTAACCACCTCAACCAAACTACTAAGCGATACATAAGTCAAACCAAAGCAGGTCAAGAAGTTGCAATGCACAAAACACCAAAAAAGATGTCTTATGGTACTTATCCTCAGTGGTCAGGCCAAATCCAGTGGCATGCTATCGAGATTGACATTTGAAAAACACAGAATAGCTGCGAAGAGAAAGGCTCCTTATGGCAGTGACAAGCCAGTCATGCATAATCAAGAAACTAATACAGCTATGGTCTTACATGTAATTTACACTACAACAAATTAAGTCTTAGACTTAAGACAGGAGGTAGAGCAATACATAATGCATTGTATAGAGTTCTTAATAGCAGTTGTCGATTAGCGTGATGCAGGACAGGCTTTCAAGATTAAAGCTTTTTGTCAATAAATATATTAATTAGTCTTCACACATGATTTCAGCACTTGGCATATGCTTGCAACAGGTTCACCAGAAACGGAGAAAGAAATAAATAAAAGATAAAATGAAAGAAGATAGTGAGTGATCAAGTTCCCTCCTTACGGTACTTTTTGCATCCAAATAGAATGATCATCAGTATAAGATAAAACAAAAAGCTTCATAGAGTTCCCTCACAAATTTTGCAATGCACGTAGAATTAGCATAACCTAATCAAATGAATTCAGTTCTTAGATCTACAATAATATACATGAATTGTGCGGAATATGGACAAAAGATGAAAAAGGGAACTGAGATTACAAGAGAAACAAAACTAAATTCTTATTTCATACAACCCATACTCTCAGATTACAATGACCTTTACACCTTATACAGCCATCGGCTCACTAACACTTCTAATGGCTTATCAACCTCTTTACTAACTACCCGACTAACTTCCTCTTATTACAATTATAACGACCTACTACTGCCAGAAAGACCTAAAGTAGCCAGCAAAAATGTACAAAGAGAGATATGGAGCTCAGACAAATGGGCTGACAAATTATACAGGGACAAGGGATCTTTGCATGAAGGGTCAGAGGAACAAGCTAGGCAGAAAGGGAATCTCATGCTGAACAAAAGAGGGAATGGGTGGCCTAGAGAAGGAGCTTATCCAGGGAAAAAGGCAGGACAACTTCGGGAAGGAAGACTTCGGATGGCACTGGCCTCTCATAAAGGCAGCTGCTGTTTACCTACTTTGTCACCTTGGGTTGTTGTCCTGCGTTGTGTTCGTTTGAGCTGCTATGGTGCTACTTTTGTTTGTCAAATGAATTGATTATGTCCACATTATCAATATCAGAAGACTTTTGAACTTTCTGTGTGGCCTCTAGTGGACTATTGTCACGGAAACCCTATCATTTGCTGCTTCGCGTGTCAGTAAGAAGCATGTGTTATACCAAGTTACATTCCATTACCAATATGAAAAGCATAATATACACGTGTTGGTTTCAGTAAAATTTAGAAGGGACTCTATTAAAACCCAATCTACATAGGATTCACTATGCCAAGATTATGCTTCACAACGTAGATCCATAAGAAATAAGCAGATTTTCCAGCAAAGTAAATAACATAATAAAAGAAAAAAAAAACATAGTCCAAATCTCGATATCAAGCCTAAAAAATTCAATGGTGGAACAGATTAATGATCAAACATTGTTAGTTGAAATGCTTCTGCTCGCCAAATAAGACCCATCAATGTACATGCAACCAGATTTGCTAAATTTAATAGCAGAAATTTAGTGGAAAACACAACAGATAGAATGGTCTTCCAAATAAATAAAAGTCAAAGGTTCACACCAGCCAACATCAATCCTGAAACACTAGTTTACATCAAATGACACTCATAGATGACCGTGAACTTGAAACTAAACGTCAGAATATAATTAATACAGATATTTCCATGCCTATCTGACAATCATCCTCGCTTATTTTTTGCCTCCACCACTACCACCTGCAGCTTTACTCCCAGCTGCTTCCTGAGCTGCTTTCTTCGCTGCTTTCTCCTGCAGTGCCTTTGCATCTCTGGCCCCGAAAGAGATAGGAATAAACAAAAGATAGGCACAATACAAGAGCAAGATATTAAAGAAGAACCAACCTTTCCCGGCGTTGCTCAGGAGTCAACCCATCATTCTTGCCCTGCTGCTTGCCGCCCTTGGAGACCCGGGACTGAGCCCTTTCACGATCTTTCTCCCTCTGGTTACCGCGTTCTCTACCGTTAAAGTGAAACAGGCAAAAAAAAAGAAAAAGGCAGGAAAAAAGTGGCCTTACGAAGCCCACATGATAAGAAGAACAAAATCCATGGCCAACAGATCGCGATTGAAAACAAAAGATATTCTTTAACTCTGAATTGAGATGCAGAAGACATAGAAATTTTTAAAATTTCGAAGAGAATTTTCATATCCGACATCAATACTTCCTAACCACGTCTCTCCACAAAAACAAGGGTTATTCTCTCATTCCAAAAGGAAATTTAATTTCTCGGATTTTCAATGAAAAGAGACGCAAATTCAACCCGACAAATTGCTAAAACTTGAGAAAAACTAGAAGCATATCACAAGATCAAAGGATATGAGTCATAATTGCTCGATTCTTCAACAACCAAACGAGATCGGAGAAGGCAAAAGCCCTGAATCAAGAAATCAGAGAGAAAAGAAATTACACAATGGAAGAAAAACGAATCTTTCGATTAATCAATCAATGAAAACACGAAGTACGCAGGGAACATAGTACCTGATAGAGATGGATCGACCCGGAACAAAACTTGCACAGGTAAATAAGGACTTTGCCAGGGAGGCGACTTAAATCGAGAGCTATAAATACAACTTTATTTTCTACAGTCTGTACCGACGGCTGATTCTCAATATTAAATTAAATTAAATAAATGCAGCAGGAATAATATTTGGGGGAATTACACGAAGGTCCCAAATAGCAGAATTTATTCCTCTAAAGTCCCTGAAAACCATTAAGGCTTCGTTTGGATTACCGTCCCAAACGCTAAACGGCCCTAGGAAATTGTGAAACCAAGGTTTGCAATTGAATTGAAGAAAAATGATTGTTTGGCTGGGACAATTAACACAACCAGCTTCTGAGCCAAATGGTAAACGCTGGAAACGCAGCTCTGAGCTACTTTTGGAGCATTTGAAACTGAGATATGCCGTTATGAAGCATTAATTGCATATGAAAAATATGACCTACCAGTATTAACCCTCCCTCAATTTCCCCTCCCCCAAATCCACCTTCATTTCCATTTCAGGTCACTCCCTCCATCTGTAGAGCTCACCCCCAGGCTTTCATCTTCACCGTCACCGGCTGCTCTCCCTTCGTCCCTCTTGTCGGTGCTTCTCCGTCCGTGACTATCACCAATGATTCTCCCTCCTTCACTCTCTCCATTTTCTCCCAGACGGCCGAGCATTCTCCCCTACTCTTCTCTCTCACGCTCTCCCATTTTCTTCTTTCATTTCAGGTGGTCCTCCGGTTGTTCGACCGAGCTCGCAATTTCGTTTGTTGTTGGATGTGCCAGAGATTAGCCGGAGTTGATTTGTTGCAGATCAGTGTGGTCTTCTCCCAGATCTTTATTTCATCCTCAGTGAGTTAGTTTCACAGGATCTGTTGAGCTTTACCGTGCTTCATCGATGTGTAGATGTGCTTCCCGTAGATCCAGCCATCTCTGCTCCATTTGATTTCTGCTTTATTCGATTTACCGTGGCTGCCTCAACTCAGACGCAAGTCTTCAACTCTGTTCTGCTCCACTTGATTTACCGTGTCCATTGAAGTTGGCACTTCTCCCTCCGTCACTCTCTTCTGCTTGGGGCTGGTTGAAGGTCTTCAACTCGCAGCTCCAACTCGCAGCTCCAATTCGCAGGTAAGGTCACCGTGTGTGATGCATATATATACATATATATATTTGAGCTAGACTGAGATTTGGTACAGAAACTCTTTCCATGTTTGAGTTCTGATTGTTGTTCTCCTTTTCGTTTAGATACACTGTGAAAGCAGAGGGAAGTTTTGTGCCTCTCGATTGCTACTGCTTCTGTCCGTTTAGCTTCACCCTCCTTCGAACTTGTCTGCTCCTGGTTTGTGGTTTTAATTCTCTTGTAGTATCTGATGAATTTGCTAATTTTTGTGTCCTGTTGTTTGTGATGAATTTGCCGTTTTTGATTAATCTTGAATGTGATGAATTTTCCATTTGTGATGAATTTGCTTCACTCTCCTTCAACTCGATGCTAGTGCTTCTCTACATTTGCCTGTGTTGTTTGACTTCTGCTTCACTCAAAATGCTGCTAGGAGCCATTCTAGGAATATAATTCAATCTTGAATGTCATACTTGTGCCCGGGGTTTAACTTCGAATTTGTTTTCCTTTTTCAGAATATAAAATAGTTTTTTTTTCTAATTTGTTTTAGCATGTTGTAAACTCTGTTATTTTCAAAATATCATTCTTAAGAATATGTGAGACATTATTCAGGGATTTCATTTAGAATTTTGTGCTCTTGGTGAAGAGGGATGTGGTTAGGCTGCCCTATGGTGAAAGTGGATAAGATATATAAACATTATTACTTTAAAAATGTATTGATTGATTGCTTCTAAACAAAAAGTTTAAGCAGACACTGTTAATTGTGAGTTTATTCCTGTGTGTTACTGCTTGATTCTAAACTTATTGTGGATTTGATACATTTTTAATTTCATCAAGACCAATGAGTAACGATAAAGGCAAAGCGCATTGGGATGTAAGCACTACTAGTGTTTTTCTCAAAATATGCATGGACACAATTTATAGCAAACATCGTCAAGGATCCTCGTTTACAAAGCAAGGTTGGGACATCATTCACAAAACATTCAATGAAAAGACAGGGAGAGGATATGGGAAAAGACAGCTGAAAAATAGGTTGGATAACTTGAGAAAATAGTGGAAGGCATTTGAGCAGCTAATTGGTAAGGAGACGGTATAGGGTGGGACCCTGAAAGGAACACAGTGGTGGCATCTGATGAGTGGTGGGAGAGAAAGAAGCGGGTATGAACTAGCTTCTATTAATTTTTAAGCAGTTAATGACTTTTGAAAATAATTTAACTTTTGTTTACTTTTGGCTTTGCAGGAAAATCCAGCATACGAAAAGTTTAGGCAGCATGGGTTAAAATTCCGGACTGAATTGGAAACTCTATTCAAGGGCACTATGGCATCAGGACAGGATATGTGGTCACCTTCTTCGACCCAGCCTGAGCCACAGAGGGCTGATCAGCCAAATGATTACCGACCCACAATGGATTGGGAAGAAGGTTCAGGGGACAGTGAAGACGGGCTGATAGGTGTTGACACTGGACGCCGTGCAGGAGTTTCGAATGATTTGGACGGTATCAATTTAACTGCAAACACATCAAACACTGCACCCAGTATACCTAGTGGTTCAGGGAGCCAAGGAAAGAGGAAGAGAGGTGGAGGGTTGGATAAGTACAAGAAGCAAAAAATGCCTGCGACAAAAAGAATAGCAGATGCAGTAAGCTCGATTGAGAAGGCTTCCATTAGTACAACAGCGGCAATAAACAAAATCTCCAATAGTGATAACACTACTGAGCTGACTGCTGATTTGCTGAGTATGGAGGAAATTGTCAGTGACACTCATCTTTGTGTCATGTGTTGTAATCTGCTGGCAAACAAGACTTTCAGGGACATATATGCTGGTCTGAGAGAAAATAGGAAGGTATTAGTGGCTTGGTTGAAGCACAATGCTGAAAATCCACCGCCATATGCTGCACCTAAGAATCCTTGAGTTGTGCCAGGGGACTTGTTATGACTTCTGTTTTTCTACCTTAATGTTGTATTATGTGTTATGTGTTATGACGATGTATTTAATGACTAGGTTTAATGTTGTGTGTTTCGTGACTATGTTTAATGACTAAGTTTAATGTTGTATGTTTCATGACTATGTTTAATTATTATGTTAAAGTTTAATGATAATTTGTGTATTATCTTTTCTTTTCTTTTCTTTTTTGTGAAAATTTTTACTTACCTTTAGTATTTATCTATTCACAGGTAACACACATTTATTATGTTTGATTCAACGGAGGGTTGGGGCGAGGGTTGGGAGGATGATGGGGGAGACGAATGGTCTCAATTAGTTCTCGCTTTACATGAACACACAACACAATTATCAGAGCTAAGTGTGTTAATGGGTCAGTATGTGACACCTTTTCTGTGCAAACAGCCATGTAGAACTAGTGAACAAACTGGTTATTTGTGGGTTCAAGAACTTTTAGACGGGCATGAAGGACGGTCTAAGGATATGTTTCGAATGGACATAGAGACATTCCATCAGTTATGTTCTAAATTGGTTGAACATGGGTTACAAAATACTAAGTACATAGGTGTCCATGAATCTGTTGCCATGTTCTTGAATACAATTGCGCATGGCCATTGTAATAGGATGATTCAGGAAAGGTTTCAGCGTTCAGGAGAAACTGTCAGTCGGCATTTTCATAGAGTGTTGGCTGCTTGCCTCAATTTATCTTGAGAAAATATCAGGCTAACTGATCCTACATTTTCCTATTGTCACCCAAAAATAGCAAATGATCCACGATACTTTCCATTTTTTAGGGATGTAGTTGGAGCAATTGATGGTACTCACATAAATTGTAAGGTTAGTCAAGCTAGGCAAGACAAATATATCAATAGGAAGGGATTTCCTAGTCAAAATGTCATAGCCGTATGTGATTGGAATATGTGCTTCACATTCGTGTTGGCGGGCTGGGAAGGTAGTGCACATGATGCTCATGTCTTTCATTCTGCTATCTTAACTCCATCCATGAATTTTTCTCATCCACCTGAAAGTATATTTCTTTAATTTCCAAATTAATTATTTTTAAATTCAGCTTCACTTGTATTATTTTCACCTTAACATAATTGAGTCATGATTTTTTAGGAAAATATTATTTGGTTGATGCTGGTTATCCATCACAAGTGGGATACCTTAGCCCGTACAGACGTGAGCGCTATCATCTCCCAGACTTTAATTGTCACCCAGGATTTACAAATCAGAATGAGGCCTTCAATTATTATCATTCAAGTTTGAGATCCACTATTGAAAGAACTTTTGGGGTGTGGAAGAAAAGGTTTGTAATCTTAAAAAATATGCCCAGATTCAAGTTTCAAACACAAGTCTGCATAGTTTGTGCAATAATGGCTGTCCATAATTTTATCAGGCAAAATTCTCC